ATTATGTGTAGGTAGAAACTTCGATCGTGATATGTATCTTAGGTAAATTCTCTCTAAGCATGGAGGGTCACTTATAGAGTGTATGAGAGTATCGAAATATTGGAGGATATGTAGGTGGATACATACTCCAAATGATTTCCAACACCTTATATTTATAGGGGATGTAAGGAGGTGGAGGAAGTGTTGTGTGGAATTTTCTACACACAAGCTCATCAAATTGTCCACATAAATTTAAAACTTTCTTGAGCATTCATTGTTTTTAGATTCTTCCACCATTCTTCATCAATTTCTCGATTATTTTAGAATTTTCTAAAAACCTTGAAAAACCTTGACATATAATGAATTGGGCTACGAAATTTGGGCCGCACTAACCCAACAACACTAGTAAATTAGCTTTTTATAGCGATTTTTTTTTAACAGCGGTTTGGGGGTTCCGCTATTAAAAAAAAATGATACTCACCTTATAATAGCGCTTATACGTCGTGTTATTAGAAATTTTTAAAAAATACCACAAACTATTGCTCATGTTTTAGAAATTACCACCTCAAGTGGTTTTTTTTTTAAAAAAAAAATAAATAAAAACCTCCAACATTTTTTCAAACATAAAAATAAACTCCCACCTTTGTTCCTAAATGACGCCATTGTGGGTCTGCCGCCAATTTTCCTTCTCTTTTCCTTTGATTCTTACTTTTGTTCTTCCTTCTTCCTCTCTCTTTGCCAACCCTCATTATTGATCAATCACCGACCCAAATTGAATGCCAAATGATACATTCATAACTATTCTCTCTCTCTCTCCTTAGATCCTTGCAAATAAAAAAATATCAAATTGCAACCTTAATCAGCTGTAAATCAAGAAATAAGAACCAATTTTGTAACTAATTAACCATGGAATCAACTCCGAAAATTTAATTTATAAACCCTAACTTTAATTAAAAAAAACCCAAATTGATTTTTAAAACCCTAATTAAACAAAACTCTCTATATAACATGATTATGCCCTCGATTTTGTATTGTCGTTTGGCTTGAAGAACAAATTTGCGAAATAAAACCCTCAATTTGTTCACTTATCAAAAAAATTTGCTCTCATCTTCGTTCTCAAAACCAGTGGCGGAGCCACCCTTGTGCACGGTGGGTCACGTGACCCAGTTTTTTAGGGAAATTATCAATGATACCCTTGTCGTTTTGACTTTTATCAATGAAACTCTTCATTAAACTTTCATTATCAGCGGTATCCCTATAATTTTACCTTAATTGCTACGGTAACCATGCCGTTAAACAAAAGTTAAATTTAGCTCTGAATTATGGTTATTTACATATGATCATGTTAGATTGCTAATTTTTTTTATTTTTTTTTCTAATATTAAAATACATTTGAGTGTGAAATTGTGTTTATGATTGCATGTAACAGTGTTATTTCTGATTTTGCAAAGTAATTGCTAAATTTTTAATCTTTTCAGATATTAAAATTGGTGTTGTGTGTGAAATTGTATTGTGATGTTTTGGTGTGGTTAAATTAAGTGATTGTATACTGATTTTGCAGAATGAATGAGAATGAGAATGAGAAGGTTGTGTTTCGATTTAAGTATAAGGTGCATAGAATTGATATTGAAGTGGACCCTGATTAATGTAACTTAATGGATTTAATCATAGAATTTGAAGATAAGTTACAAAAAAAGAGAGTAGTTATAATGAACCCTATTTTTTCTTATGCTTATAGATGAGATAAACACTGGCCAATAGATGATGGTGACTTAATGAGGTTGTTTAGGACATGTCCAAATGTTGTTGTGTATGAGATTTTAGTTGGTACTACTATGAATTCAACTTCATTTAATGATCTAATGTATGATTTTAGGAGGAGCAAGAATAAGGGGTGAAGGTTATACAAGAAAGAGGGAATTAAAGAAAAAAAAAAGGAGGAACACTTTTGGGATTTTTGGAAAGAGATTGAATGATAGAGGCATTTAAGTATTTTTGACATTTCCCACCCCATTAAACCTGTCAAATGATTATACTTAACGTGTGTTTAACGACATGGTTATTGTAGCAATTAAGGTAAAATTATAGGGGTACCGCTGAATTTTAATTGTGGAGGCGGATGCACTATGCTCCGTGCATCCGCTTCTTCTTTAAAAAAGACGGAATTAACATATAGTTGTTCAGTATAGAACATATGGGTGTTTTGTAAAGAACATATAGTTATTTTATAAAGAACATCACATATGGTTGTTTTGTAATGAACATATAGTTGTTTTGTAAAGAACATATAATTATTTTGTTAAAAAAAACATCCACCTTTATGTTCTTTGTATATAAATAAAGAACATTCGTAATATTAATAAAGAGCACGATAATATAATGTAAAGAATATTATTTTTATTCAAAAAAAAAGAACATAATAGTATTTTTTAAAGAACATTTAGCTTTTCAATCTTTAAATGAATTACTTGTTCCATAATTGAAGAGTTTTGGTAATTATTTCTCAATCTCAATTTAGAAATTTGTATATTTCCTCATATTTAATTTCACTTGTTTGAATTTTTTAGAGAGAGGAATAAAAACTTTAGAGAGAGAAATAGAAAATTTATAAAGAAAAAGAAATTATTGTGATAAAAGACAATGGCTACGCATTTAGATCGAGTTTCGCGGTGCTTTTAATCATTGTTTTGCTAATGGAGTGATTTATTAATCAAATATCAAAGGTAATTTTGAATGAAATTTTGTATTTTTTTTTAATTGTGTTACTTTAGATTTCAATTAGAATATTTTGTAATCATAAAATTCATTGTTTAATTACCTTTTTAAAATTCGATGAATCTGGATATAGATGTTGAATTTGAGAACAATGTGACAAAGATTGAAGATGATGTTCTTTATAAGATAGTGTTATGTTCATTTCTTGAATCTTTACAATTCAATAACATCATTTCACCTTAACTAAATGTTCTTTTCATTTTAGCTAAATGTTCTTTACGTCTCTATACAATGTTCTTTCCGCTTTTTTTTTGGGAACGGATGCACCATGCGCATGGTATATCCGCCTCCACGAACCACTAATTGCGCTGATATAGATAGTTTAATGAAGGGTATCATTGATAAAAGTCAAAACGACGAGGGTTTATTGATAATTTCCCCCTTTTTTTTATTTTTTTACATAGAGAAACAGTGTTTTAAATATTAAACATTACATTAAATAATCATAAGTGCTTGATAGTCTAGTGGTTAAGGCCTCACATATTTGTAAGGAGGATATGAGTTCGATACCCATCAAAACCTTCACATGAAATTCGGTTGAGCTTTCCCAAACTTGATTTCCCGATTTCAATACAATTCAACTGAGATTTCAAGATTTACGTGCTACATTTCAGGTAGGTTTGTTTCTCACTCATAAGTTGAATTTTGATATTGATTTTTTAGGTATTTTATTCATGATTTTAATTAGTGAAATTGTGGTGTTTAATCTAATTGATACTCATAATTACCTAGGTTTGATTTTGATTGGTTTATGAATTTTTAGGTTGAAATTTTAAGCGGCTTCTATAGTTTTGCTTGGTCAAACGGATGAATTTCCCCCAAAATTGATTAATTGATATTTGGTGTACTATCGTTTTATATGATATAAATTTCTAGGTTTCTATGGTTGATTGATTTTTTTTGGAGTTTTACCAGAAAGAGATGCTAATTTTTTGAAAGATAAAATTAGTTTGAGTGATTGTTTTGTTAATGGTTAGTGCCTGGGCTGCATGTTGTGGCCGGTGTTATACCTTCGTGATATAATGAAATTCTTGCATTTTCAATTTTTCATCACATCATACAACTTATTTAAACAATATACTGCTTAATTTGTTGCTACTATTATTGGACTCATATTGGAGAAAGAATTAATTGAAATTAATTTAGGTAAAAGCAGTGGCGTATCCAGGAATTCAGAAGTGGGGGTTCGGTATCGTTACAAAATAAGATATAGCCCCCCGGTCTTTTTAAATTGCAACGTTGAGGATTTTACGCTTGTCAATGCAAATTCTATAGATTAAATTTTTGTAAAAATTAAAGAAAGTTGATATCATTAAAGCATTTTTCTAGACGAATTGAATCTAACAAGACACCATTTGACTGTACATATTTTTTTCCAACATCAGAATCACAAATTAAAAAAAAACAATAGAAGGAGTGTGGGTAAATATTGAACCTCTGTCCTTGAAGGAAAAGGGAAAAATATTTTTTTTTTTAAAAAAAAGAGTAAGAAAAGAGAAGAACCTCTGACCAATAAGCCCAAAACGAAACTAGTGTGCCAGGCCAAACCACTGAGCTTTGCTATTTTCCAACTAAAATTTATGCACATCAATTGTATATATATATATATATATATATATATCAGTTTTTCATGCTTTATGAACAAAAAAAAATAAAACTTAAAATTTTTTTTCTAAAAATCTGTGGGTTCAATGAACCCCCTTAGATCCGCCCCTGGGTAAAAGGATGTCAACTCACATATATAAGAGCATAAAATTTATTGAACAGAGAATTGGAGATAAAAACAAAATTTCCTATAAATTATTGATGATAAAATTTATTACGGAGTAACATTTATTAAAATCACATTTGTTATTCATATACTTCGATATTGAAAATTTTATCACAAAATAAACTCTAGTTATTCAGTTATATATTTTCCTGTGTTGTAAGCACGCAATGCGAAGGCAACAGTCCAAAATATTATTACGAAGTATTACCATGTCTACATAGCAACTCTTATTAAATATTACACGTCGTAAATTTATTGAATGAGTGATAAGCGGAAGAAGAAGATGAAATTCTAGAGAGAGAATATGAGAGAAATTATAAGAGGAAATTTATTATTGAAAAATCTAGAGAATAATCTTATAATTACAGAATATATAGTGTAATAATAACAAACTCTAACAACTTTCTGTTAGAGCTAACAAACTAGCCAGTTGTACAAAACTGACGTGGCATAGGGGCTTAACACCCCCCCCCCCTCAAGAATGACAGGCTAAACTCGAGCCAGTCCATTCTTGAGATGAAGAATTCTGCAAAAGACCAATCTTGGAAGTCAGGAATCTATGTTGATCAGTCCCAAGTGGCTTGGTCATAATATCTGCTAGCTGCAAAGCAGATTTCACATGCTGTAACCTTATAAACCCAGACTGCACCAAATCTTTGATGTAATGAACATCAATTTTCTGATTTTTTCTCCTCATGTGCTTAGTTTTCTCATGAAAACATGGGTTTTCAGCAATATGTTGAGCAGAAACATTGTCACAATGAAGGACAATTGGCAAAGGAACAGAAACATGAAGCTCTGACAGCAAACCTTCCAGCCAAACAGCCTCATCACCTGTATGACTCATGCTCCTGTACTCAGCTTCTGTAGAACTTTTAGCAACCACTTTCTGCTTCTTTGTTTTCCAGAAAATAAGAGAATTTCCTAGAAAAATACAATAACCAGTCAAAGATCTAGCTGTATCAGTACATGTACCCCAATCAGCATCACTGTAAGCAATCAAGTTCATATCAGAATTTGCTGGATAAAACAGGTCCATATTGATAGAACCCTTGAGATATCTGAGGATATGAACAGCTGTAGACAAATGGGGAGCTGTAGGCTCACTCAAAAATTGACTTAGTTGCTGAACTGAATAAGAAATATCAGGCCTTGAAAGATTCAAATACAACAGCTTCCCAACTAACCTTCTGTAAACCTCAGGATCAGGAATTAATTCCCCATCATACTTGCTTAACTTCAATCCCTTAGGCATAGGAAAAGTAGCAGGAGTACAATTTTCCATGTTCTGATCTCTGAGAAGATCTAAGATATATTTTCTCTGATTCAACAAAATACCAGAGTCTGATCTAGTCACTTAAACACCCAAAAAATATTTCAAAGCCCCTAGATCTTTGATAGTAAAAGCATTATGCAAATCTGTCTTCAATGCTGCAATAACAAACCCATCATTTCCAGTCACCAACAAATCATCAACATATGCAACCACAACTGTAAAGGAAGAACCAGACTGTAAAATGAACATAGAATAATCTTGTTTGGATTGAGTAAAACCCCATTGAATCAAAAACTTGCTCAACTCTTTATTCCAACACCTAGAAGCTTGCTTAAGTCCATAAATGGACCTGTTTAGCTTACAAACTTGACCTGCAGAAGCCTTAAAATAACCAGGAGGAGGTTGCATATAAACTTCTTCATCAATATACCCATGTAAGAAGGCATTATTAATGTCCAACCGCTGAATATCCCAATTTCTGACAGCAGCCAAAGCAATAACTACTCTGACTGTAGTTAATTTAGCAACAGGACAAAAAGTGTGTTTGTAGTCCTTGCTTTCAATTTGCTTATCACCCCGAGCAACAACCCTAGCTTTACATCTTTCAACCTCACCATTAGGTTTAAATTTGGTTTTATAAACCCACTTGCAACCTATAGCTCTCTTTCTTGCAAGAAGATCCACCAAATCCCATGTATTGTTAGCTTCTAAAGCCTGGATTTCCTTTTCCATTGCCTCAATCCATTCAGAATGATCCTTAGCTTGTTTATATGAAGATGGTTCATATGCAGTCATAACCAAATACAAGTTATGTAAAGAATCAGGATGAAGAGAAGCTAGAGATGGTTCAGCATATACATTAAAAGATGCTGAAATATCAGAATCAGGATGAGAAACATGTTTATGAAGAGGTTTGGTCAAAACAAAATCCTTAAATTTGGAAGGAGTTTTGCTTTGCCTAAAAGAATGTCTTACAGGTGGTACAATAGTAGGAATCTCAGGATGAGGAGATAAAGAACTAGAGTGTGTAGCCGGATCAGAAATAAAATGATCAGATTCTGAAGTAGAAGGAATATGAGAAGAATTTTGAGGAGAAGATTGATAAGAAGAATGAGAAGAAGATTGAGGAGAAGAATTTTGAAAAGAAGAATGAGAAGGAGAAGAAATAGGCAAAGAATCATCAGGAATTGACTGAGAAACCTCAAACAAATCCTGAGACTCATCCAAAGCAGGATTGACTAAAGGCTTTGAAACTGAGACAGAAGTAGAAGGAAGAACAGAAGACTGAATTTTGAAAGGAAACTCATGTTCAACAAACAAAACATCTCTGCTGAGCATAACCTTATGAGTTTCTAGGTTATACAACTTATATCCCTTTTGACCAAAAAGATAACCAATGAACACACATCTGACAGATCTTGGAGCAAATTTATCCAAGGTTTTAACAGCAGGATAACACAAGCATCCAATAACCTTGAGCTGAGAATAATCAGGTTGTTTATGAAATAACACCTCATATGGAGTTTTCCAACCCAAAACAGAAGTAGGAACCATGTTGATAAAAAAAGTAGCAGACAACAAACAATCACCCCAAAACTTGTAAGGCAAACCAACATGCAATCTAATTGTTCTTGCAGTCTCCAAAAGGTGCCTATGCTTCCTCTCTACCCTCCCATTTTGCTGAGGATTACCAAGAATACTTTTTTGATGAATTATTCCTTTGTCAAGAAACAAAGTAGCACAAGCATCTTGTATTATTTCAGTACCATTGTCACTTCTAACAACCTTAACCTTGGCATTAAACTGAGTTAAAACATACTGCAAGAACTGAGAAACCACATAAAACACTTGTGTTTTGAACTTAAGAAAAAAAGTCCAAGTAACCCTAGAATGGTCATCAACAATTGTAAGAAAATAAAATGCACCAGAGAGAGATAGTCTTTTATACTTGCCCAGAGATCAATATGAATAAGATCAAACACAGCAGCAGCATGAGAAGTAGACAAAGGAAAAGGCATTTTATGGTGTTTCCCTAACACACATGCTTCACAACTAAAATCAATAGTGTTATTCAATTTGCCAAAAGATGGAACTGTTACATGTTTCATACACCCAATAGCTGAATGACCTAGTCTAGCATGGACAATTTCTAAACTAGGAACATGTTTTGAAGCTGTAATAGCATTATTTACAGACTGAGTAGTGCCCTTAGAATTAGACACACATTTATTACAATCTACTTTCTTAGAAAACTTGTATAAACCAACATGCCTTGAACCAGAAGCCAAAACTCTTTTAGAAGTTAGGTCCTGAAAAGAACAAGAACTATGATAAAAAATAGCAATAAGCTGATTATGATCAAGCAATTTTCCCACAGACAACAAATTATGTCTAAAATCTGGAATATAAAACACATTATCCAGAATAACCTCAGAATTCAGTTTAACAGTTCCATAATACTCAACATATTTAACAGTTCAATCAGGCAAAGACACTCTAATTGATTTATTTAGCTGTTTTAAAGAAGCAAACAATGCCAAATTAGATGCCATATGATCTGATGCTCCAGTATCAATAATCCAGCAATCTCTACTAAAAATATGCATCAAATTATCCACATTAGAGACAGAAATTGTACCAGAAAAATTTACAGTGGCATTGAGAGGATTATCATCTAACTCTTATGGATTGTTCAGCTGAAACATCTTGAGCACCTGATTGTAAATTGCTGACACCATAACTGGATCTGGCTGAGATGAACCAACCACATTCTTGCCAAAATTATCTAGAGAACCTTGAGGAGCAGCACTAAGAATTCCAGCAGTCGTACCACTACTCTCAGCAGAATACACATTACCAGCAAACTTAGATGGATATTTAGGCTTCTCCTTATTCCAAGAATCTGGAAAACCATGTAATCTGAAGCAACTATCAACAGCATGCCCTCTCTTCTTGCAATGCTCACAAACAAGATCATGCTTAGGCTTCTTAAAATCTCTTTTATAATTCTGAAACACAGGCTTAGGAAAAACCTTAGCAGCATGTAAAGCATTCACCTCAATTGATTCTGCTCGAGTATTATTCAACCTATTTTGCTGTTCAACTTGCTGCAAAGCATAATAGGCCTTATGAACATGTGGTAAAGGATCTGATCCTAAGAGATTCACCTTAAATTGGTCATAATCTCGATTCAAACCTGAGATTAATTACATTAGCTTATTACGCTGATCATTCTCAAGAATCTTCTTGAACACTCCACAACTACATGATTTCATAGCACCACAAGTGCAATCAGGAAAACCTTCAAGGATCTGTAATTGATCCCAAATTGCCTTCAATTGGCCAAAATACTCAGCAATCGAAGCATTATTTTGCTGAATCGAGGTCAAACTACGATGTAAATCAAAAATTCTTGGTGCAGTTGTATGTCCAAATCGCTCATTCAATTCAAGCCAAAGTTGATGAGACGAATTCACAAACATAAAAGATTCAGCCAATACATTCTCCATTGAATTTAAGATCCACGACATCACCATATAATCGTTTCGGATCCATTTCTGATAATCCGAAGAATCTGAAGCAGGCATTGGAAGAGTTCCATCAACAAATTGCAACTTATTACGAGCAATCAGCGCCATTTTCACAGTCCTACTCCAATTCAAGAAATTCGATCCAGTCAAAATATGACTTCCAAGCTGCATTCCAGGATGATCGCCATTACTAAGATAATAAGGATCATTGAAATTCATAGAGTTCGAAGAATTAGAAACATCTTCAGAATTCGCAACCATTTTCAGAAAATCAAACAGAAAAATGAATTGCAGAAAAATTTGAGGAAAACGAAAGAAGAAGAGAAGAAATAGAGAAGAAACAGAGAAGAAATCAAGCAAGAAAACAAAGGAAAATCTCAGAAATCATCAAATTCTGAAGCTTTGATACCATGATAAGCGGAAGAAGAAGATGAAATTCTAGAGAGAGAATATGAGAGAAATTATAAGAGGAAATTTATTATTGAAAAATCTAGAGAATAATCTTACAATTACAGAATATATAGTGTAATAATAACAAACTCTAACAACTTTCTGTTAGAGCCAACAAACTAGCCAGCTGTACAAAACTGACGTGGCATAGGGGCTTAACAGAATTGGATATAAACCCAACAATCTACAACATACAAAGGGAAACAACGTACTTGAAAAAAAAACAAAGGGAGTACTAATTAAGGAAGCTACAACCTACAACAAAAAACAAAGGGAGTAATAAAATACGGACTAGTAGATAAGGATTACCCTTGACCTCGTACTACGTTATATTTGTTATGGGACATTTTGTACAACTGTTGACCGACGTTGACATTCAAGACCAAGATATATAAGACCGAGTCAAGATGGTTATGGATGCTTCCTAAAGTTATGGAGAGAATATCTACCACTAAGAAGAAGTCAATTAAAGTTGTTGCACGTATGTGTACTCCAAACCGTCTACATTCATTGAAAGACCAAGTAAAGATTGAATAACCGCTATTTTCTATTTTCATGGAGGGCATCCTCATCCTTCTCCAACCGTCTATTGTCTACATACGAAAATCTCTATAAATAGAGATCAAGTTCCTCCCATGAGGCATCATCCATTAGCTACTTCACCAAATTGAAACAGGAAAAGTCTATGTTATAAGATCCATTTCCTAAAGAAGCCAGATTGACATTGGAAAAGTATCTAGTTCATCTTTGGTTACGATGTCTCATAATTTAATCGGTATTGATAACCATTTAGGGGCTTTCTCCCTTTTGATTGTCCATGTTGATCCACAATGATGCTTTGGCGATTACTACATATACTATCTTAGTAGGAGTAAACTCTCCTGTATTGTAAGCATGCAATGCGAAGGCAAGAGTCCAAAACATTATTACCATGTCTACATAGCAACTCTTATAAAATAATACACGGCATAAATTTTATTAAACGAGAATTGGAGATAAACCCAACACTCTACGACATACAAAGAGAAA